TCAACTAATCATTAGCTTTGCGTGAGAAAAGACTGATCTGATTTCTGTTTTTGAAAATTGAATAAATAAGGAAAATAGCTAAATACTTCTTTCTAAATACATGTTATTTACATTAGATACTCCATAACTACGTTTCCTCATTTTGAATGATTGAGCGGCGAACGTTGAAGATGGAGAAAAGCGCGTCGCCTACTCAAAAGCTATGTAATAACGATGAGTTACTGACCCTGAAACACCCTGTACCTTACTGTGTGCAAGGAGGGGAGAAGGGAGAGGGAATGAAGGCCCAAGAGTATGGAGAGTAATTCCACCCCGTAAGACAAAATAGCACAATACCTGGATGCTTTGAGTGTTACGATATATTTAGTTATTTTGTTTTACTATAAAGGGGCACAAAATAACCTTCAGTGGAAAGCTAGGATTATAGCTTCCTTAAGTGAGTGAACGTAACATTAAAGTGGCCAAACTAGTAGACTAAAACAGAACAAAACAGAACATGGGGGTAGTCAAGACGGATAACGGGAGGGGAACCTTAAATTCAAAAGAACCACTAATCGTTGCTCAGATCTTTCCAAGCGACTAATTTTGTTCCTAAAAGCCAGAATACCTGAGAAATGTCTTTTTTTTAAATAACAGCAAATAAACATTCAATTTTTTTTATAATGAAATCCTTCTCAAAGTGCCCACTCACTTTGTCTGTAATTCTTCCACTTCTCTGATCAGGCCTCGCTGGTTTCTAAAGCGTCTTTTAACTTGAAGAACAAACGCCACAACGTCTTCGCTATCAACAGCTTCACTAACAAGATCGTCGATATTCAGCGAGTCCAAGTTGACCTGCGGGCGACAAGAGATATAATATGCTTGCTCCGTGAGCGGGCAAGAGGAACCAAATCCTGCGCTGTGATTGGCTACCCAGGCGGGCAAGATGGCGCTATCATTTCCCGCTGTGAAGAAAATGGTATCTTCTATGGCAAATACTAGATCTTTTATTGACCGAGCTTGTTCATTCAAGACAGCTGGAGAGTGGAGATTGGCCTCGATCTTTTTTTTTTTTGCGCGATTATGGACCTCATCCATATTGACCTCACGCTTGGTCAATAACTCGTATGTCTTTTCGTCTAGCTTTCCACTCAAAGAGCAGCCTAATTTTAGACACCATTACATTTCACGGTTCGCGCATTTTTGGCTAAACGAAATGCACGGCGTTTTTCAAAAATAGAACTCTGAATCAGTTTCCAAGCACATGACACGCTTGATCTTCTGGCTCAAAATGATAGAGACTAGTTAGTCTGCTTAAACAAAAGATGTTTGGACGCTAAACCAATGGGTAACAGTCTCTCTAGTGTCCTTCAGATACGTTATCCTTTCAGAGTAAGGTCTGCTCCAGGAAAATTCCAAACTTCCTTACCTTCGCTTCTGCAAACACAGGACGTATCCCTCCTTCGAGTCTAAACTTTATGGTGAGAATCAGGGGGGCTTCCGCTTGATCAGTAGCCTGATCTCCTGGTCTAGCGTCATTTGGTATCTCTAAGACGACAGAGTCACCGTCAACACTTTGTACATTGACGCCTCCAAGATTAGCGTACAGTTGTACAGCGGCGGCCAGCCTTGAAACCGATAAAAAACACTCCTTCAGGGAAATAATGGTTAAACAGTGGGAAACTACAAAAGAAAAAAAGAAAAAAAGAAAGGGCGAAAGAAAGAAAGAAAGAAAGGAAGAAAGGAAGAAAGAAAGAAAGAAAGAAAGAAAGAAAGAAAGAAAGAAAGAAAGAAAGAAAGAAAGAAAGAAAGGAAAGGGGAGGAAGGAAGGAAAGAAAATGTTGTTATTTAATTACCATTCTCGTTTTTTCTGTTCGTGTTCGTCACAATCTTGATTGAGCACTGTTTGTATCTTCAGTTCCTCTTGCAGTTCATTAACACACTCCTCCAGACGGATCACCTCGGCCTGCAGTAGTCCCTTGCAGTGTTCAAGGCTAGAGATGGCCGCCTCACACTGCTGGATAGCCAAGTCGGCTTCTAACTGTCAAAATAAGCACGTCATCAACAGAGCTTGTGTTAAAAGTACAATTAGCCAATCAGAGCTCGGTTTACAAAGTATGTAGTGGAAAGCGTCGGAAATTCTGCGTAAATTACTCCATAAAAATATGTTTTGCTTTTCGAAACTGATTGCGAAAAAAAATCAGTCTGCAGCGTTCAAAAAAGTCGTGTCTCATAGCCCGGGGTAGTGGACAACTTTCGGGCTAGTGTATCATAGTTACAGCTTTCCACTACAAATGCAAGGCAAAAACTTGGTTTTCTTTACACCCTAACTCGTGGCTCTGATTAGTTCTCATACATATATTGATGACTTCACTTGCCATAGCGATAGAACTTTACTTATTTGGGAACCAGAAAAATTCCTTAAGATCTTACTGACAACCTCACAGAACACAACACTTCAAATAGAGCCAAGGAATACATCGCAAGCAGATTGCTACTTGGGGTAAAGTTAGACACTCACTTGAGTTTTACTGAACACATAGATGACATTTGTAAAAAAGTGTCACGACGTATTGCGGTGCTGAAGAAGATTAAGCGTAACTTGCCTCTCGCTGAGCGTAAGCTTTATTTCAACGCCTTGATCAAGCCGATAATGCTGTATGGCTCGTGTGCATGGTGCACTGCGTCAGAAGAGAACGTTAACCGCGTATCCAAGCTGCAAAAGCGAGCAGCTCGAGTAATCCTGGATGCGGATATCGGTGAAAGAAGCGAGATGCTTCTCAGACGACTTGATTGGCTGCCACTTAAGGAAGAATTAAACCTTCGAACGAACCTTCGGGCGAACTTTCCAAGCCAATGGAGCAAAACTATGGAACAGCATCCCTTTAGACATTCCCAAGAAAGACTCCATTGGCTCCTTTAAATCTTCTGTTAGAAAATATTTTCTGTCCAAAAACTCTTAGCTTAGTTTTTAGTTGTGCATATCTAGATTTAGATTTTTTAAATTTTTAACTTTTATCATATCTTTAAATTTTTAGCTGTATTCTATTTTGTAATTTTTATTATCTTTTTAGTGTAAATAGTTTTTAATTTTTAACTTAGGATAGAGGGCCACTGGTTCGTCAATTTTTCACTGTTATGTGTTACCCTCTGTAAATAAAGTTGTTACTTACTTACTTACTTATTTACTGCAGAACAGAAAAGTGCTATCAGAGTGGCGATCAGAAAATATATTCCTAATGGGATTCTTTGCAGTTCATAGGATGTTTCAAGTCAGCTTTTTTTTAAACGGTTTTCTATACTGCATATAGCATAGCCAGCCCAGATATAAGCTTGCTAGTGATTGATAAGTCCAGCTAAATCCCCTCTAACCTGGATTTTACAGTACAAGGCACTGTGCTGTTTTGCTTAGGAGCTGCAGCGTTGGGGCGGCGGTGGGGCGGGGGTTGGGGAGAGAAGTTAATATCATAGGTGGGTATTTTGCGTCTGGGGGATTTTCTTAGGAGTTTACATCGACGGTATGCAAAGTTGTTTTTATTTTAATACCTGTTTTGCTTTCACTTCGTCAATTGATTCTTCCTCATTTTCCTGGAAAAAAGGAAGAAACGAGTCATAAACGTAAAGCAGATTGAAGTCATTCGCACAAGACTTAAACGAGAAACACAATCATTGAGATTTCATTTCCTATCTTTTCATAGTTATAGCAACTTTGTTGATACTCACTGGATCATTTACCCCTAAAACGCGAAGAAAAATGTTCAAGATCTCGCTTCCATTCAAAATCCAAGACGAAGAATTTGGTTCTTAAGTTGTGGTTTGAACACTATTTATTTCAAGATCATCGTTCACACAGACCTAACTTTACACAGCATTTAACCAGTCTCCTTTCTGAGAGATCGAAAATCAAAGACGTTTCAGAGATATTTCAAACCTCTGCGGTGTGCTAATTACAACCGGAAGTTTGGTCAAATGTTTTTCCGGGAAAATTTCACTTCCGGTTTCAGCACATGTCGCACCAGAAACTGTCAGCAATCTTTGTTACGTAATATTCTGGCTAGGAAATCTGTAAAATTTAAATTACCAAAACGCCAAAAGGATGGAAGTTATCAAATGAAAATACCGTGAGGCCTGTGAGTAGAATTTCGAAAAGTGTTTGTTCTTGCCAAGACAAGTCTTTTCTTTGTCACCTCACCAGCATGTCGTCTTCTGCTCACACAACGTGAGGCAAGGAAATACGGTGCACACAACCTGTGTACCAATGACATTTGAGCGCGAACAATTAGAAGGATCAAGGAATGCAGAGGAGGTTATCAGATACTTTGAACCAGAACAAAAATCTAAAACAACACTCGTGATTGGAAGATCACGCAAAGCGAGGATTATTATTGACACGACCTTCTAAAGCCCTCGAGCGTATTTCGCTGCGGTTTTAGACTTCGCTTACCAAGAAAGCCATTCTAAGCACAGATGCCATGTAAGGCAATCAAAAATCAAGGCAAGTATTAACGAATCCGTAGTTCTCGACTTGTCGGGACTTGAGTGGTGGTTTCAGTTGTAATTTGGACGTCGCCTAACAGCTTGCTTTAATTGATTTGCTCATCTTTTACAGACAGGAGTGTTTGTGCAAGTGAACAGTGTAATTTCTGCAATTTTCCGAGAAACTATCTAGCAATAAGTTGCGACTGTAATTTCAAGTTCGCGATCACAGAAAGCATCAGAGACGCTGCTCTCTTCGTTTCACAAACTACACGACGTGTCGAAAATCGTGTGTGCTTGGAACGCTTTGCGTAAACGCAGCGAAGAATATGAGCTGGAGACGAGATCAGGATCACTTATCAAGAGTTTTGGAAGAAGAGCTCAAATGCCCGGTGTGTCTGGAGGAATTCGTGGAACCTAAAAGTCTGAGTTGTTCTCACACAGTCTGCAAAGATTGCTTAAGCAGCATTGCGCAGCATACCGACTGGAATGCTCGAAATCCGCATCAATCCTACGTGCGTTGCCCCACCTGCCGCGTTAACACTGAAATTGATTTTCCGGGGGGGATCGACAAGCTGCCAACAAATTACATCGTGACCACTCTGATTTCTGGAAAAGGTAGAATCAAAGAAGTCAAGGAGGTGGAAGATCGTCTTAATAAGTGCAAACAGGCTTTGCAAGTCAGACAGGATTTGTTGACTAAGATGATTGACTTATCAGAGAGTGTTGGACACCGAAGACAGCAAGTTGAAGGTGACATTCGGCAAACTGCGGAAAGGATAGTGCAGATGGTAAGAGCCAGTGAGGAAGAACTCATACAGGAAGTTAATTTGGCTGTGGCCAGGCAGCAGCGAGGACTAAAACAGCAACGGGAAGTGATGCAGAATTTGATTGCTTATGCGAATGACATGATCAAAAGTGTTGAGCAACAGATCAATTCACTTCCCACAAGGAAGGTTATTGAGGAAAAACCTTCCATTTTGTCTCAGCTAACAGACATTGATGCCATAGGGTTGGCACTTGAAATACCAGGAATGGATTCCATTGCATTTATCCCAAACATGAGTATTACTGAAAGTGAAGAGTTCACAAAGCTGGGAAAACTTGTCGTTGGCAGTAACCAAGACCCCGATGGTTCTACCACTAGCTTGACTGTAGCAGATTACTCACAGGATCAAATACAAACCCATGCTTTTGGAATGGCTGGCAGTGATGGAGGTGAGTTCAATCTGCCGTGGGGTGTGGCCATACGTGACGATGGCTGTATTGCTGTGGCTGATCACGCAAACAGTCGTATCCAGATTTTTGATCATCAAGGCACCTTTCTCCATGTTTTGACAAGTGATGAATTGGAGAGGATTCGCCTTCCGACCGGGATTGATTTTGATCTAGATCATAACCTCGTCACTTTCGATGGTGAAAGTCGCAAGGTAAAAATTCTTGATTCAGCAGGCCGCCTGATTAGGAACATGAGCAGTTCAATTGAACTTGGCAGCAGAGTGGAAGGTATATCAATTGACATACAGGGACGTATAATCATTACAGACTCGTCAAATGGACGTGTGCTGGTTTTCCATCACAGTGGGCATTTATGCCTTGAATTTGGTGGGAGTGGAAAAAACAAGCTAGAACGACCATCGTCTGCAGTGTTTCATCAGGGCCGCTTTATTGTTTCTGACACCTTCAATCACTGCCTTAAGGTGTATAATCGTCATGGTGTCTTACTGCAACAGATTGGAAGGCCTGGAAGAGAACCTGGACAATTCCGACAGCCAAGAGGATTGACGGTGGATTTGGCAGGTAACATACTTGTGTGTGACTCTGGAAATCATCGAGTTCAGATCCTTGACTGCGATGGAAACTTTGTAAGAAGCTTTGATTGCTTTGGTAGTGGGGCTGACAACTTTTGTTTGCCATATGCCATTGCAGTTGGAAAGCAGGGAGAAGTGGTTGTGTCTGACTGCAACAACCATTGTATTCAGATTTTCAGATTTCCACTCCTACATGTAGAAACCAATTCAGAGTAAAGTGACTGGCAGTGTGACTTCATTTGAAAAACTAACTTTAAAAGGGGTTAAAATATAACAACATCAAATAGGCCATTTTCGCATTTTTGGTATTGCACTGGAACTAGCTTGCAATGGAGGCTCGTGTGGAGGAATACCAGCAAAAAGAGATAAATGGTGTTTACATTAGACACGACTCCCCGCATTAGACTTGGTTGCAAGCTAGTTCAAGTCCATTACCAAGAATATGAATGTGGCCTATTGTGTCATTCAAAACAAATGATTCAGATGAATCAAGACTATCTGGGGGCTAGTTTTCTTTAGCTTTTAATTGAATTAAGTTGAAAAGGCAGTTATTTAGATTACTGTAATCGCATAATTACTTGTTAATATTTTACATTATCCAAATGAACTATTAATCTGGATAGTGTCAAAACTAATATTTTGAACTTGATCTCAGCAGAAATAATTAAGTAAATAAACCAAATAGGAATGACTGACCACGATATTCACATGAGGTTAAGAAGATCCCTCTGTGAGTTCCGCACACATCCAATATTATACTGATGTTTTAGAGATTATCAAGATCTTCAAATACATGTTTACATATCCTGCATTACAATCATCATTACCCCGTAAGCTAGGACTATTTTACTGACCATTTGGAAGGAATGGTTTTCCAAAACATCCTTTTTGACTTGCCAATTGCAATCAGCCTATGACTTTGACCATAACTGTCCAATTACTTCTGGATTGGCCTTAGCCAGATTGGTGTCCAAGCATCTGTTGTATGCCAAATTTTTAAAGAGAAGTGCTTTATTTTTCACCTGTTGGTTTACAAATTGTTCATTTGAGCCAACCCTATTGCACATTTTGGACACCAACTTTTCAAATCTTGACCAAAAGCCTGTTTCTGGATGAAGCAAGACATATTTGGGTTAAGGAAGCAACATACAGGGCTTGAAAAAAAAACTTGAATTCCAGCTTGCCCTTGGGACAAGTAGCTCAAAAATTTTGCTTGGCCTAGGAAAGTCTTAGTTTGTTCTTTTAATGATTTAGTTGGCAGATAACTTGATTGATCCCTTGCCCATCAGGCAAGTGAGAATGTAAATTTACTTGCTCAGAAGGAAAATCTGCTTGTCTGGGACAATGGGGCGGCACTTTTTTCGAGCCCTGTAACATAGAAAAATATACTCTTTCTTTGGCATCTAGTTAACTATTATTTCAGGGCCTGTTTCAGCCTGTTAGACTTAATTTGAAAATCACCTAGTAAGAAAGGGTATGCTTTAACAGCTATAGGTCTATAACTTTATAGGAACACAGGACTGACATGAGCTCTTGACGTAATGATGCCCTAAGCGAAGAGAATTTGAAATAATGACGTGATTTTCCTTTCTTTTTCTTGCATTCTCATTTTCATCAAGTTATTCAAACACGTAAAGGTTTGGGACAACTTGATTAAAAGCTGTGAAAACACTTGCCTGCTGCTCACGTTTCCACAGCATTTAATGTTCTCCGATTCTTTTCCTCGTGTTTCTACATAACTCAATAGAAACACAGAAAATGTTTCCTATTTATTGTTAAATTTGTAATGACAGTGGTGCTACAGTACCTTTTCCTGTACTTTGCCAACAAACTGCTCTGACTTCTCCTTCAGCATCTCGTACTTGCTTTTCTGAAAACAGTCAAGTGGTGTCAGTGATGTAATGACAATGCTGTTTTCTGATGGTATGTATATTTATTAGCATAACCTCATGATGAAAACTTGTAGTCAGATTTGCTGCACAGTATCAATGAGACATTTCTATTGACATTTTATGTTCTATGTTCACCAGGCTGTCCACTTGGTTATTGTTATAACAAGAAGACTCTCATTTGTTGATTTCTATGAATTTTGATAAGTGGTTGACAGATTTCTAGTTTAACAGCTGTTAGTCTACAAAACAATTAAGTTAGTCATTGTTAATTATTACATGACTGAGTTAGTTCGGAGTATTTGAGAAGGCACTGTCCTGAATGATTCCACAACACCACTCTTGAAGGCTTTCTAGCAGTGTTTTTGTTTACTTATCTAAATGAAACACATTAGTTCCAACTTTCTTTACTGTTTTTTTGAAAATTATGTCAGACATGTGTAAATGCTGTGTCAGCACTCAAACAGAAAAATAAATTGAGTTATAATACTTTCATTTATTTAAATGTAGCATTTCTCTGCTAATTTTAAAATCTGAGCTAAAAAAGTATACACAGTCTGGTTGAAACTATTTATTCTAATCCTGAAAGGTTTAGGGGAAATTATTCTTGATGACACTAAATCAAGTGACTAGGTGATAATTTTATTAAAATGTGAATGTATAAATGCATGCGTTTATTATCTTTTCAGAGGTCTCAGTAGGAACCAGTTACTGGCAATTTCTTTTAGTTACTCTTTAAAAGCAAATTCATCTAAATTTGCTGTATATTTTCCCTGAAATTAATACCATGTACAGGAAAAATTGAACCCCTATTAGCTGTCTACTTTGCACTTTGTGCCATGTGCTTTGTGCTCATGTACCTTGTCTTTGGTGGCGGCAATTCTCTGTTCCAAAAGCTCAAGCTTTTCCTTCAAAACTTTGTGTTCTAAAGAATTAATTTACAAATACCTTCATTGTAAATTAGTATTCATGTGGTGCAAAACTATGCATTGTCTAGGCAGTTATTTGTAATTAGAAGTGAACAGTTTTTGAAGAAAAGAGCTCTTGCTAAATTGCAGGCTTAAATGTACAGGTAAGATGTGTATTAATATTTACTGATAACTAGAGTATACTAGGTATCTCAGTTGAAGTTGGATTCATAAGGAAACAAACTCAGGGGCTAATTATATAACAACCAACTGTTCAATGTATTAAACAAATAAAAATTATTTTCTAAAATGTTTCTTCCCATTTGAATTAATCTTTCATGTTGCAAATGTCGATCTGTAGATAGATCAATGACTATGTAGTGATTATATTTTACTAAGCACTTGGTTTCTGTGTTCTGTCATATGACTGAAGGAATATGGGGATTTGTTAAAAATTAAAACTGTTTAATTGTTATGCAGAGTGTGTCAAACGAGAGACAAACCCAGGAACAAAATGTCCTGGATGCAAAACAAGTCTGGATTTTAATCTTGCGTAAAGGTTATTTAAGATGGGACATCTTATCAAAAATGTGTTTTGCAAATGTTAATTTAGTAAAGTTCAAAACAAATATTAGCCTTTTAATGGAGACCGCAATTTAAACCCAATCAAAACAACTGACAGCTGCGTGACTTGTTTGCAAAGAATGAGACAAAAAGTACTGCATGATATATATTATGAGCTTACTGGTGCAGAGAGTTTCAGCCAAGTCATCAATCTTTGTCTCCAGCTCCTCAATCATCTGTTTGTCTTTCTTACTTTCATTCCCAGTTGCATTTGCTTGATGTTCTGAAATAGAAAACATCAGGGGGGAAGCGCAACAGGTAATGTACAGTGTATTGGCTGATTAGAAGGGCTTAAGCTGAAAAATTATTTCAAATATTGTATGTTGCAATCACAACATGATTAGGGTTTAATGCTGATCCAATAAGTTAGGCTTATGGCACTGTATTAGAGATATATCCACTTCTTACAGCTGCTGTAACAAGTTTATAACTACACGAATTGTAATGGTATGGCATTGTATAAATTTTATACATGTACCATGCCGTAGAAAATACAGCCAATCAACAGGCAGGAAAGCCATTGTATGCTTGATGGTACAGTATTATGCCCAACCTTCCCATGGTGCGGCTGCTAATGTATTAATTTTTCTTTGGCTTGGTAATGCTTTCTTGTGCTAGAACACACTGTAAATACATAAACAATAGCCTCCATTTGAAGTGAAAATATGCTCGGATATTTGTCCTTGGACATTATCTGTTCCGAGAAGTGCACAGTTTTCCTTGAGCTATGCTCTCGGAAAACTGTGAGCTTTAAGGAACAGATAATGCTCAAGGACAAATATCCGAGCATATTTTCCCACCAAAATGAAATGGAGGCTATTGTGTTTATTTTCCTATAAATATTTTGAAAATTGGGGAATATCACTTGGATATTCCCCATTTTTAGCTGGGGAATATTTAGTCACATGACATGTTTAGACCAACTGCGCATAAACGGAAATATTTGTTGAATTATAACATGGAATATCCTACTTGAACTCATATTTTCTTGAGAAAATACAAGCAAGTCACGGTATACTTCACTGGAAAGTGTTGTATAACTAGTATTTAAATATAGACACAAGTGTTTTGCTGGAGTATATACACAACACATAAAAAATCATACGAAACCACATGTAGAACCAGAGTAGCATACTTTCCAAGTTCTCACTAGTGAGGATATTGATGACATCATTTCCCACTCTAATATGGTTGATTGCTCAAAAATTTAGTTTGTCATAATAATAATAAAAAAAGAAAATTATGTGGCTTGAAGGTATAAATTTTTATTTTCTCGGTTAATTCAGATACAAATTCTGTAAAATTTTGTAAGTTTTAATATCAGATAGCCTACCTTTCTTTTGTATGTTGTCAGGTGAAGACCAGTTTTCTTTTGCTACATTTTCCAGGAAACGGGATTGGGTTTGTAACCTTATCAACATAGTCTTTAAACTTACAAGATGACTCTGTGTAGATAATGGCAAAACATAATCAGTTCATTGACAAATAACTGCAAAAAAGCAACTCAATTTTAAAAAAAGTAAGTTGCTTGGGGTAAATTGAGTAAACATTTTTGAAATATAATAATAATGCAGCTAAAAGGTAACAGGTGCCTGGTTATTCAATGTGAACCAGTTGCTCATAAGAGGGTTAAGTCCTAACCTCAGCTGAATTTATCTAAAACCAAGGTAAAAGTCATCTGTGCATTAGTTTTGTGTGCAACTTACAGAAAAATTGTCTTCAATCTCAATCAGAAACTTAGTCAAAGTGTTTTAATGACAAGAAGAAAAGTCTGATAACAATCGATAATCTACACTTAACCTTCAGATATCGATTGTTATCGATTACTGGCTTGTTGATTGCCTTGAAACAGTGGTCTGCAGTCAGCAGTCCATAGTAACTGAAACAGGGAAACGATCCTTTACCTTGTGCTTTTGGAACTGTAGTTCATGATTTCCATCCACAGCATTGCAGAACTCAAGAGATTTGATGTTTCTGCTGTGGTTTGAGATATCTTGAAAAATCCTGACGACAGCACAAAAGATGAAGAATACAAAAGCAAAAACCGACACAACGTAGAATGATTTTTTGAAGGTGTACTATATTTCGCCTGATGAACACCGTAAATCAAACCCAATATAATTGCATGAAATAGAAACTTATAACACAGTATTAAGCGCCAGAAAAGTAAGATAAGAAAGATGGTTTTCCTTTTGACGCATTACCTTTCAAGATCTTCAACTTGGGATGCCATGTTTTTCCGTTCAAAACAGACCGCCAAAATGAATGAGACCGCATTTGACTTAGTCAGCGGCTCGACGTTCGTCACCAGTCTTTTGGACCCGGGACCGACCCTGGGATCTCCTAAGGATCTCCTGGGCCTTGGAAGTTCCGGTTTCCTTCCTTGGTCCGTTGTGATGTTCTATTTCATGCAGAATTAAAATGATGAGCTCTTTGGTTAGTCAGGAGTCTGATGCAGAATTAGGAAGCCATCAACCTTCTTCTAACAGCCATACTCCGGTTTTAGTTTCCTCGGCGACATACCGTTCCTTCTCTCCATCACGCCGGCTGTTCTGTCTTCTTGCGGCCTTCGATTTTCTAGCAACTTTATTTATTTGGATTTTGTACGCTCATGTAAGTAAGCTTTTGTCTTTTTCTTTTAAAATGTTTGTAGTACAGCAAACAAGGGCTCACTATGAGATGTTTATACTAACTTATTATCATAATTAATTCATGCAGGAAATACTCACTGAAATACTACAGTTCCTTGTAAGATAAAGTAGTTCATTTATGCTGACTCTTGCGATACCGTCTTGTGGCTCATGAAAAGAAATCATCGTATTTAATATACGTTTAGAAATGTGATATCATTCAAGGTTAACGCCATAGTGTATCGAAACGTTTTTAGAGTTTTTATTCTTTTTANTGCAATGGAGGCTCGTGTGGAGGAATACCAGCAAAAAGAGATAAATGGTGTTTACATTAGACACGACTCCCCGCATTAGACTTGGTTGCAAGCTAGTTCAAGTCCATTACCAAGAATATGAATGTGGCCTATTGTGTCATTCAAAACAAATGATTCAGATGAATCAAGACTATCTGGGGGCTAGTTTTCTTTAGCTTTTAATTGAATTAAGTTGAAAAGGCAGTTATTTAGATTACTGTAATCGCATAATTACTTGTTAATATTTTACATTATCCAAATGAACTATTAATCTGGATAGTGTCAAAACTAATATTTTGAACTTGATCTCAGCAGAAATAATTAAGTAAATAAACCAAATAGGAATGACTGACCACGATATTCACATGAGGTTAAGAAGATCCCTCTGTGAGTTCCGCACACATCCAATATTATACTGATGTTTTAGAGATTATCAAGATCTTCAAATACATGTTTACATATCCTGCATTACAATCATCATTACCCCGTAAGCTAGGACTATTTTACTGACCATTTGGAAGGAATGGTTTTCCAAAACATCCTTTTTGACTTGCCAATTGCAATCAGCCTATGACTTTGACCATAACTGTCCAATTACTTCTGGATTGGCCTTAGCCAGATTGGTGTCCAAGCATCTGTTGTATGCCAAATTTTTAAAGAGAAGTGCTTTATTTTTCACCTGTTGGTTTACAAATTGTTCATTTGAGCCAACCCTATTGCACATTTTGGACACCAACTTTTCAAATCTTGACCAAAAGCCTGTTTCTGGATGAAGCAAGACATATTTGGGTTAAGGAAGCAACATACAGGGCTTGAAAAAAAAACTTGAATTCCAGCTTGCCCTTGGGACAAGTAGCTCAAAAATTTTGCTTGGCCTAGGAAAGTCTTAGTTTGTTCTTTTAATGATTTAGTTGGCAGATAACTTGATTGATCCCTTGCCCATCAGGCAAGTGAGAATGTAAATTTACTTGCTCAGAAGGAAAATCTGCTTGTCTGGGACAATGGGGCGGCACTTTTTTCGAGCCCTGTAACATAGAAAAATATACTCTTTCTTTGGCATCTAGTTAACTATTATTTCAGGGCCTGTTTCAGCCTGTTAGACTTAATTTGAAAATCACCTAGTAAGAAAGGGTATGCTTTAACAGCTATAGGTCTATAACTTTATAGGAACACAGGACTGACATGAGCTCTTGACGTAATGATGCCCTAAGCGAAGAGAATTTGAAATAATGACGTGATTTTCCTTTCTTTTTCTTGCATTCTCATTTTCATCAAGTTATTCAAACACGTAAAGGTTTGGGACAACTTGATTAAAAGCTGTGAAAACACTTGCCTGCTGCTCACGTTTCCACAGCATTTAATGTTCTCCGATTCTTTTCCTCGTGTTTCTACATAACTCAATAGAAACACAGAAAATGTTTCCTATTTATTGTTAAATTTGTAATGACAGTGGTGCTACAGTACCTTTTCCTGTACTTTGCCAACAAACTGCTCTGACTTCTCCTTCAGCATCTCGTACTTGCTTTTCTGAAAACAGTCAAGTGGTGTCAGTGATGTAATGACAATGCTGTTTTCTGATGGTATGTATATTTATTAGCATAACCTCATGATGAAAACTTGTAGTCAGATTTGCTGCACAGTATCAATGAGACATTTCTATTGACATTTTATGTTCTATGTTCACCAGGCTGTCCACTTGGTTATTGTTATAACAAGAAGACTCTCATTTGTTGATTTCTATGAATTTTGATAAGTGGTTGACAGATTTCTAGTTTAACAGCTGTTAGTCTACAAAACAATTAAGTTAGTCATTGTTAATTATTACATGACTGAGTTAGTTCGGAGTATTTGAGAAGGCACTGTCCTGAATGATTCCACAACACCACTCTTGAAGGCTTTCTAGCAGTGTTTTTGTTTACTTATCTAAATGAAACACATTAGTTCCAACTTTCTTTACTGTTTTTTTGAAAATTATGTCAGACATGTGTAAATGCTGTGTCAGCACTCAAACAGAAAAATAAACTGAGTTATAACACTTTCATTTATTTAAATGTAGCATTTCTCTGCTAATTTTAAAATCTGAGCTAAAAAAGTATACACAGTCTGGTTGAAACTATTTATTCTAATCCTGAAAGGTTTAGGGGAAATTATTCTTGATGACACTAAATCAAGTGACTAGGTGATAATTTTATTAAAATGTGAATGTATAAATGCATGCGTTTATTATCTTTTCAGAGGTCTCAGTAGGAACCAGTTACTGGCAATTTCTTTTAGTTACTCTTTAAAAGCAAATTCATCTAAATTTGCTGTATATTTTCCCTGAAATTAATACCATGTACAGGAAAAATTGAACCCCTATTAGCTGTCTACTTTGCACTTTGTGCCATGTGCTTTGTGCTCATGTACCTTGTCTTTGGTGGCGGCAATTCTCTGTTCCAAAAGCTCAAGCTTTTCCTTCAAAACTTTGTGTTCTAAAGAATTAATTTACAAATACCTTCATTGTAAATTAGTATTCATGTGGTGCAAAACTATGCATTGTCTAGGCAGTTATTTGTAATTAGAAGTGAACAGTTTTTGAAGAAAAGAGCTCTTGCTAAATTGCAGGCTTAAATGTACAGGTAAGATGTGTATTAATATTTACTGATAACTAGAGTATACTAGGTATCTCAGTTGAAGTTGGATTCATAAGGAAACAAACTCAGGGGCTAATTATATAACAACCAACTGTTCAATGTATTAAACAAATAAAAATTATTTTCTAAAATGTTTCTTCCCATTTGAATTAATCTTTCATGTTGCAAATGTCGATCTGTAGATAGATCAATGACTATGTAGTGATTATATTTTACTAAGCACTTGGTTTCTGTGTTCTGTCATATGACTGAAGGAATATGGGGATTTGTTAAAAATTAAAACTGTTTAATTGTTATGCAGAGTGTGTCAAACGAGAGACAAACCCAGGAACAAAATGTCCTGGATGCAAAACAAGTCTGGATTTTAATCTTGCGTAAAGGTTATTTAAGATGGGACATCTTATCAAAAATGTGTTTTGCAAATGTTAATTTAGTAAAGTTCAAAACAAATATTAGCCTTTTAATGGAGACCGCAATTTAAACCCAATCAAAACAACTGACAGCTGCGTGACTTGTTTGCAAAGAATGAGACAAAAAGTACTGCATGATATATATTATGAGCTTACTGGTGCAGAGAGTTTCAGCCAAGTCATCAATCTTTGTCTCCAGCTCCTCAATCATCTGTTTGTCTTTCTTACTTTCATTCCCAGTTGCATTTGCTTGATGTTCTGAAATAGAAAACATCAGGGGGGAAGCGCAACAGGTAATGTACAGTGTATTGGCTGATTAGAAGGGCTTAAGCTGAAAAATTATTTCAAATATTGTATGTTGCAATCACAACATGATTAGGGTTTAATGCTGATCCAATAAGTTAGGCTTATGGCACTGTATTAGAGATATATCCACTTCTTACAGCTGCTGTAACAAGTTTATAACTACACGAATTGTAATGGTATGGCATTGTATAAATTTTATACATGTACCATGCCGTAGAAAATACAGCCAATCAACAGGCAGGAAAGCCATTGTATGCTTGATGGTACAGTATTATGCCCAACCTTCCCATGGTGCGGCTGCTAATGTATTAATTTTTCTTTGGCTTGGTAATGCTTTCTTGTGCTAGAACACACTGTAAATACATAAACAATAGCCTCCATTTGAAGTGAAAATATGCTCGGATATTTGTCCTTGGACATTATCTGTTCCGAGAAGTGCACAGTTTTCCTTGAGCTATGCTCTCGGAAAACTGTGAGCTTTAAGGAACAGATAATGCTCAAGGACAAATATCCGAGCATATTTTCCCACCAAAATGAAATGGAGGCTATTGTGTTTATTTTCCTATAAATATTTTGAAAATTGGGGAATATCACTTGGATATTCCCCATTTTTAGCTGGGGAATATTTAGTCACATGACATGTTTAGACCAACTGCGCATAAACGGAAATATTTGTTGAATTATAACATGGAATATCCTACTTGAACTCATATTTTCTTGAGAAAATACAAGCAAGTCACGGTATACTTCACTGGAAAGTGTTGTATAACTAGTATTTAAATATAGACACAAGTGTTTTGCTGGAGTATATACACAACACATAAAAAATCATACGAAACCACATGTAGAACCAGAGTAGCATACTTTCCAAGTTCTCACTAGTGAGGATATTGATGACATCATTTCCCACTCTAATATGGTTGATTGCTCAAAAATTTAGTTTGTCATAATAATAATAAAAAAAGAAAATTATGTGGCTTGAAGGTATAAATTTTTATTTTCTCGGTTAATTCAGATACAAATTCTGTAAAATTTTGTAAGTTTTAATATCAGATAGCCTACCTTTCTTTTGTATGTTGTCAGGTGAAGACCAGTTTTCTTTTGCTACATTTTCCAGGAAACGGGATTGGGTTTGTAACCTTATCAACATAGTCTTTAAACTTACAAGATGACTCTGTGTAGATAATGGCAAAACATAATCAGTTCATTGACAAATAACTGCAAAAAAGCAACTCAATTTTAAAAAAAGTAAGTTGCTTGGGGTAAATTGAGTAAACATTTTTGAAATATAATAATAATGCAGCTAAAAGGTAACAGGTGCCTGGTTATTCAATGTGAACCAGTTGCTCATAAGAGGGTTAAGTCCTAACCTCAGCTGAATTTATCTAAAACCAAGGTAAAAGTCATCTGTGCATTAGTTTTGTGTGCAACTTACAGAAAAATTGTCTTCAATCTCAATCAGAAACTTAGTCAAAGTGTTTTAATGACAAGAAGAAAAGTCTGATAACAATCGATAATCTACACTTAACCTTCAGATATCGATTGTTATCGATTACTGGCTTGTTGATTGCCTTGAAACAGTGGTCTGCAGTCAGCAGTCCATAGTAACTGAAACAGGGAAACGATCCTTTACCTTGTGCTTTTGGAACTGTAGTTCATGATTTCCATCCACAGCATTGCAGAACTCAAGAGATTTGATGTTTCTGCTGTGGTTTGAGATATCTTGAAAAATCCTGACGACAGCACAAAAGATGAAGAATACAAAAGCAAAAACCGACACAACGTAGAATGATTTTTTGAAGGTGTACTATATTTCGCCTGATGAACACCGTAAATCAAACCCAATATAATTGCATGAAATAGAAACTTATAACACAGTATTAAGCGCCAGAAAAGTAAGATAAGAAAGATGGTTTTCCTTTTGACGCATTACCTTTCAAGATCTTCAACTTGGGATGCCATGTTTTTCCGTTCAAAACAGACCGCCAAAATGAATGAGACCGCATTTGACTTAGTCAGCGGCTCGACGTTCGTCACCAGTCTTTTGGACCCGGGACCGACCCTGGGATCTCCTAAGGATCTCCTGGGCCTTGGAAGTTCCGGTTTCCTTCCTTGGTCCGTTGTGATGTTCTATTTCATGCAGAATTAAAATGATGAGCTCTTTGGTTAGTCAGGAGTCTGATGCAGAATTAGGAAGCCATCAACCTTCTTCTAACAGCCATACTCCGGTTTTAGTTTCCTCGGCGACATACCGTTCCTTCTCTCCATCACGCCGGCTGTTCTGTCTTCTTGCGGCCTTCGATTTTCTAGCAACTTTATTTATTTGGATTTTGTACGCTCATGTAAGTAAGCTTTTGTCTTTTTCTTTTAAAATGTTTGTAGTACAGCAAACAAGGGCTCACTATGAGATGTTTATACTAACTTATTATCATAATTAATTCATGCAGGAAATACTCACTGAAATACTACAGTTCCTTGTAAGATAAAGTAGTTCATTTATGCTGACTCTTGCGATACCGTCTTGTGGCTCATGAAAAGAAATCATCGTATTTAATATACGTTTAGAAATGTGATATCATTCAAGGTTAACGCCATAGTGTATCGAAACGTTTTTAGAGTTTTTATTCTTTTTAGTTTAGCGTTTTTAACCCGGTGCAGCTGGTAGACGATCACATGATCGCCTTGGCGGGAGCTATCACTTTTTTTACAGTTTTGCTGTTTTATTTTGCTGTTTTATAGATCTGTAAGGCTTGGGATATTGAATTCCTCATTGTCTTGAATCCCTTGGGTTTGCTAGCTTATATTGCGTGGTCTCTTTTCCTCTCTCCTGGGGTTTATAACCCACCTTTAGCTGGCTAGTCTGCATTCACACACACCTTTTTCCTTCATTTCATGCTGAAAAGAGAGGTCTGTGATTTGCTGTTGCTTTGAATTGCAATGCATGTCATATGATGTCTGCTTGCAGGCTATAGACTTGCTGGTGTGGAGGGTTTGTCTCCCAGGATGGGGAGGTNTCTCATAGGCACGTGTGGAACACAGCCAGAAAGAGGGAGGGAGGGAGGGAGGATAGAAGCAGAAACCGACACAACGTAGAATGATTTTTTGAAGGTGTACTATATTTTGGCTGGCCAAACCAACCTTCTTCAGGTACAATGAGAATTTTACTTTGGGACGTGTTTTATATGTAGCATATTTTGGTAATTCCGGAAATACGTAAAATATGCTACATATAAAACAGGTCCCAATGTTTGGGACGTTGCATTATACAAATAAGGGGTGATGACGTCATAAATAGGTCCTTTCAAACAGTAAAATACTGAATCAAGAATACCTCCAGAAATATTGGAGCAGTGTTCTTCAAACTTGGCACCAGAAATGTACATTACATAAGAAACAGAATGACACCTACTATGTTGTTGCCATGCAACACTCTTGGCTCCAGTCTCTTTCTGTGAAAAACCAAATATCCCCATTTGCAACCTTTTAAAGGGGGACAGAGGGTCTTGCTCTGAACACACATGGTTCCCAGATTGTCTTAACTCTCCCCATTAGATTGTTTTGAGTGGATTATCCTTGTTTAAGACAAAATCTGGGACTTATAGTCTTAATTAAAACAGGACCAGCGGCATTACTTTTGTCATGGCAACGGCATGACAGGTGTCATTTTGGTCCTTTTGTGACGTACAGTTCTGATGCCAAGTTTAAAGAACACTGCTTTAATATTTCTAGAGATAATCTTGATTGAGTGTTGTACTGTTTTAGTGGAACCACCTATGATGTCATCACTTTCCTTATTTGCATAATACAAAAACGTAAATATCTCTAAAATGAAAAAAGATATTCCAAAAAGGAAATGCCATTCTTCTTTACTTTGAAAAGCCTTTCAACGTTTTAGCAATTTAAATAATCTGTGAATAAGTTTATTAAATAATGAAATATCAGAGCCAGTGTTCAAGGTTATCCCCTTTCATCAACTGGTTATGAAATGTTTTGTTTCTTGATATTGTTTTATCTACTTCCAGGCTTATAATGATTTCAAAAGTACACTTAGAAAGGACGTCGTTCAATACAGCTTTAAAAAATCATTGTTTGATATTGTGGTAAGTAAGTATGAAAGAGCTACTGAATATATGAAATGCAAAATAACCTACAGGCAGGGACGAGTGGTGAAGCCATGTGATAAAATAATTATACATCCCCTTAATACCTTTTGATCCAACCTCAAAATCTTGGAATCCTTTGTGATCAGTCACAAAGGTACAGGTAGAGGTGTGATACCTGTTTTTTGGGTATGCAACATTTTTTATCTTTAAAAATGTTTGTTTTAGGATGTAAAATCCACTCAATATATATCTATAAAGTGGAAACCAAACAGACAGAGACTAAAGATGCGCTAAAAAAAATGAGGTTTTGTATACACCACTTGATCATCAGTTGTTGATTAACTGGCCATTGACGAAAGGTTATTTTTGGCAGTTGGGACGTGCTTTAATTAGACTGTGAGTAGTCTGTCTTTTGCTTAGTCCACTGAGCATGACTGTAAATTAACTGCAAGGAAAAACTGGTGGCCTAAAATCCTAAGGGTGAGAAGTGTGCGAAAGGGGGGACTACTGACAATGCCAGAGAGTTTGAATTACTATGTGTTGCTCTCACAACGTAAAAATATGACTGGCTTATGCTAGGAGTGTTAACAATGTGTTGTCGATATTCAAGATATGTGTGATGTTTTGCAGGAGTGAGGCCACCACACCTCCAGCTTGTATGCAAATTTTAAAACTGCCTTCTCAAAATTTGATGTGCTTTTTCATCTTTTCTGTAGCTGCTGGCATTTTTGCGGATGACAATTCTTCTTCTTGCGTATGCTCTTTTTGTCAGTCGCAAATGGTATGCTGTAGCGGTAAGTATGGTAATGAGGAGCATTATGCAGTGGGCAGGTATAAATTATTCCAGTTTTGTAAATTGGTTAAAAGTGTGGCTAAATGTAATTTAGGTCAAGTTACATGTAGACTTGAGCTAATTAAGGTCATACTCAGCGGTGTTTTTGGAAGGTTTTTGGGAGGGCTTAGGTGTTTTGTGTTCCAGCTGTGTAAGGACATGTAGTTGCTTTGAGCTTTGATTGTGCTTGCGGAATGCTTTTGCTGCCTGATCTCCTTTGCCTTCTGCAAGTGTTGGTAAGTACCTGTATGGTGCTTGTGTCTCTTGTGTCACAAAGTCCCAAGGTCATCAGTTGGTGATGAGTTCAATTTGAAAATTTGATTTTGCAAGAAATATGTACCAATGATTCTTTGAAATACTTTTAATGCAGTGGGAAGCAGATAGGTCCATACTTTAAGATTAGAGGGAAACTATTCAACTCTCCAAACTTATATCAATTGAGATGAAAATCATTTTGATATGCTCATAATAATAAATTTTGCTGCTTAACCATTTAAATATCAGTGACTGTTGAACTTGATATTTTTATAGGCCACAACTGCCATTACCACTGCCTTTCTTCTTATTAAAGTTGTATTAATGTCATTTCAAGTAAGTAAATATCTATTTTCTGTATGCACCACAAACAGCAAGCTTCATGTACAGTTAAGTGGTTTTGAGTGTATCTCCTGAGATGATATAATTTGCTCTATATACAGCTTTAGGTTTAGTCCAAACATATCACGCTACAATACATACTGAGCCTTTTTGAAAAAAAAAA